GCAGGTGGCCCTCCCTCGTGCTGCAAATACCAGAGTGCTGCTGCTTGCTTCCCAGCCTTTCCTCTCCTATTATGAGAGAGCTGGAGGCCTTTTAATGGCTTTAGGAACCATCAGCATGTTAAGCCATCACTTTGGGTATAAACATATTCCAAATTAAGTTATGTAGTTTTAAGTTACCTACTTAAAACATTAATGCCTTGACTATAATTTTGCAAGCTTGCTACATTTTAATTTCTCTAGGACAATATAATCAGTTTATTCTTTATGTTTTGAATTTGATTCTGCCCTCTGATACATTGCATATTATAGCAAATACTAATAGAAGCTAGCTAAATAGGCTGTGACAATTAAATTAATAATGCATTTTATTTGCAAGTGTTTAGTCTTCATGGTTTGACTGATATATGCAAAGATGGTAATTTATTAAAAGTAAATTCATGTAATTGTACTACAGAGTTTGATGGACCAAAAAAAGTTGTCAGCATGACTATCATCAAAAACAGAAAATTGAAATAAGTGCAAAAGGGTGCTTGAAAAAATGCTAAAATACAATACACCCTGAGAAACTGGTGCTCTTTTAATAAACTTCTCAGCAAAGTATTTTTGGTGACAAACATGGTGATGACACTGAGGGGGGCACATGTACAGTTTAGTGAGCAACTGGACTACTGCAACTGATTCTCTGTTGCTTTCCATAACCCATAACTATTTTATTTTATGCACAAAGGGAAAGTGTCATGGAGGCTGCTGCCATGTTTGTATGTGCAGATAAGGAAAGCAAGCGTAATTCATGAGAAGATTGCCATGGAACACCTTTTGTTTCACTTTTGTTTTTCTTTTTTTCTCAAAAGCAAACTGGGTTTAAAGGAAAAACAGCTGAAAATCATGGGAACTTAAAAAAAAATAAAAGTCTTGTAGGAGAATTTCTGTACATTTCTGCCACACACACACATGCAAAAAATAACAAAACCAAAACAACAACAACAACAACAAAACCCTAAAAACTAGTCCATTATGGTCATTACTATTTAGTAGATAACTCAAAAGTGGAAGGTTTAGCTCAAAAATTCCTCCAAGATATTTTTTGCTATTATTGGAACTGTGATACTGATATATTGTCAACTTGAATGTGTCTCAAAACTGGCATGTTGTCTGCTAAGTCCAAGGCCGGTGCATATTTGTTACTTAAGTGTCAGGAATCTTCATGGGACCCATAACTATGTCTTATTGGCAGGATAAATCTTTAGCTACATCTTTATGGGGGGTAGGAGACAGTGTGGTTGGGGGTGAGGTGAAAGCATCTGCAGTAATAATGATGCTGGTCTCTAATTTCTGTTACATCGTTAATTATGTTGCTGCTGTGTAAGCTGTGGAAAAGCAGGAGCTACAGAAATGTTTTAGTATTGGGTGTTTAAGCTACATACATACTTACGAAAATGAAATCCTTAAGTATTCATCAGTGAGACTGAATTTTACCAGCACAGCTCTGGTTTTAGAAATTTTTCATATGAAAGATACACTCAGCTCCCCTTTAGAAGTTGTCAGGACGGCATGATTACTGTAYAATATTCATTTTATAGTAAATAAGACTTCCTCATTAAGAAGAATGCTATCTCATATACGTTTTTATTCTGTATACAAACATACTGGAGAAGGCCTTAATTGATAGTAGTTATATAAGTACCTGATTTCCTCGTGGTTTTGGAATGCCCAGTTGCCTCAGAAATGATTCTTAGCACACGAATAATCCCACTCAGTTGAATGGGATTGTTCGTGCACCTAAAGTTACTTGGATCCCAAAGGCTTGCAAACCTGGGCTCTGCGTAACAAAACATTTTCTAGGAAGGACGCTAATAATGTGAATGTTTTAGTAAGGTTGTTTTTACATATTTTCATACGTTTTATGAGGTGAATGTTACAGCACTAGTGTTTTCAGTATGAGCTAACAATAATTAACACTAGACAAGGAAAAGCTTTCAAGTGTCTTAAACAACTAGGGGCAACTTTGGACTAGAAATCTTGGCACACTCTAAGT